ATAAGACAGCTTAGGAAATTCTCTGAATTTAAAATACCTACATATATAAATCAATGATATTTCTATATACCAGCAACAATTAGACGACCAAAATTTAAGGAAGATGCCATTTATAACAACATTAAGCATTAAGTAATAAGACTAATGCTAACAAAAATTTGCAAGATTTCTATGAAGACAATAATATGAATATACTTAGAGAAGCATATTAAATATAAAGACATCCTAAATAAATGGAAAGATGTAACCTGTTAATAGATTTGAAGACTTAGTATTGTAAAAATGTCATTACATTTTTAAGAATGTTTTCTTAATCTATAAATTAAATGTCATCACAATTAAAATTCCAAAAGTATTTTTGTGGAATTTAACAATTGGCTCCTGAATTTTATAGTGAAGTCCAAAGGGCCAAGAATAGCAAAGCCGCTCTTATAAAAGATAAATAACGTAAGAATATCTCCTTCATCAGATTTCAAGGCCCCTTTTCCATTATGCCATGCACAAAAATGAATTTTATGCGAAGCTATGAAACCTTTAGAAGATAATACCTGAGAATATCATTATGACTTCCAAAGTAGGGACATTCATGATCAAGAAATATCATGCATTAAGCAAAAGGAAAAGAATGTTAAACTGAACTACTATAAAACTAAAGATTGTTGTTTATTCAGATACACCAAAAAGAGAATGAGAGGAGAAGTGAATTTGCAGCATAAGTAAATAACAGAAAACTATGCCTAAAGTATTTAGAAATCCACAAAGAAAAGACAATTCAATAGAAAGACTTAAACAGATACAAATGGACAATTAACATGTGAATTAATAGTCAGGGAAATGCAAATGAACAATTAACATGTGAATTAATAGGGAAATGTAAACTGAGACCTTGATGATAGATCACTATACACCCACTAAATGAGCTAAAATTGAAAAGCTGTACAATATCAAGTGTGGTGAGATTACTGAACAAGAACTCTCATCCTGTTGATGAAATGTATATATGAAAAATGTACACACATGCATCTCTGCACATTTACAAAAATGTTCATTGTAGCATTATTCGCAATATCTCTACAATGAAAAGATAATTATTAGAATTAACAAGTTATAGTGAGTATTTTTACAGAATTAAAGTCTAAATAGTATATCAGAGCTACAGAGAGCATATATTAAGTGGAGAAATAAAGCAAAAACACAAAGGAATACATATTCATTTACATAAACATTCTGAAGATTTATATAAAATTCAAAAATTGGCAAGACTGTTATAGAAATGCATACACTGGGCCTGGTGTGGTGGCTCACACCTGTAAACCCAGCACTTTGGGATGGTGAGGCAGGTGGATCACTTGAGTTCAGAAGTTCGAGACCAGCCTGGCCAACATGGTGAAACCCCGTCTCTACTAAAAATGCGAAAATTAGTCTGGCGTGGTGGCATGCGCCTGTACAGGGAGGTTGAGGAAGAAGAACTGATGGAACCTGGGAGGTAGAGGTTGCAGTGAGCTGAGATTGCACCACTGCACTCCAGCCTGGGCGAGAGTGAGATTCCATCTCAAAAACAACAACAAAAAATTGATTAAAAAAATAAATAAATACATTGGCATTTGGTGAAATTTATTTGGGGGCCTTATACCTGATTACTGTAAATATTCAATGTTTATTTTAAAAAAGTATATTCTGCTTTGATTACAGTGAACTTTTTATGTACAAATATAAATATAAGCATACATATATAATGCACATATATACACACACATATAACATATATATTTGATCAGTTATTAATTAATTTGTTTGCTTGATCTGCTAGTTTGAGAGAAATTTATCTTAAAAAAAAATCCCACCATGATTGTGGATTTGTCATTTTCCTTTTTCTATTTTTACTTCATATTTTCTCAAGCTGCATACATGTCCCTGATTATAATTTTCCTAGTGGATTTTTCTTCATAACGTAATAAAATGCACCTCTTCATCACTGTTAATGTTATTCAACCTCTAGAATACTTTTGCTAACTAATATTGCTACGTCAAGCTTTTTAAATTAGAATTTGCCTGGCGTGTCTTTTTCTATCTCTTTATTTTCTGTATTTTAGTTGTTCAGTTTTAACTATTTTTGATATGTTTGTTTTGTTTTTAACTGTCTTCATAGTAGAACACTGGTCAGCTAGTGAGGTATTTATGTGATTAGATTAGATAAGAGGTGGTTAAACTATGATATTAAGCAGTAATCTAGCCTGTACCATCAGCAAATGATAGTTCATTTTGAGGCTGTTTCCAGGAAACAGTCTCTCTAAGCCCCAGAATGTCTTCATTTAAGATCAAGATTTTGTTGGTAGAAGGCTAGCCACTTTATTTTTATATTCTCACTTGTCAAAACATTAAAGAAAGCACTAGCTTTTTATATTAGAAAATGTATCATTTTCAGGTTAAAATTTTAAAGATTTTATTATTTAAATAACTTTAAAATTTAATTTCTGACATATGGACATTGGGTTTTTTTTTGTATTCTTATTAAAAACCTCGAAGAAACATTTTTAAGTAAAATGTTCACATTTTGTAGGCTAATAACTTGGTATATGAGAATTTAGGGGAATTAGAGTGATTCAATTAGAAGAGATGGAGAGAGCTGGATTAGAGTTGTGATTGGATTAGGACTGATTCAATTAGGATTTTGATGGTAAATATAAAGTCTGATCTCACATGATTTTTTTATTTAGAGATTCTCTCCTGAAAGAAAATCATATTTCTGGGTCTTACTGTATCTTCATTTGAAATCAGGATTTCAGACTAGCACAATATATTTTCTCCTTTAAAATATAAAATAGATTAAGGCAATAACTTTTTACATCAGAACACAGTTTTTTCTTTTTAAAACTAATTAATTAATTAATTCATCCATTCATTTTTTCTTTTATTCACTCATATGGAAACTGTTTATTTGGTAGCTATTGATGCCAGGCATTGTTTCAATGTTTGGCCCTTTATCACTGAGCAAAACAAAGATCCCTGCTCTTTTAGAACTTATATTCTACATGGGAGAAACAGAGAAAGAAACAATAAACGTAATATAACTAAATTACATAGGGTCATGGAAGATGATACATGTCATTGCAATTATGTATAACATAATTTGAAAAAATAAAAAGGAAGAAAGCAGGGAAAGGGAGATAGAGAGTAAACAATGTTAGGGGACAGAGAAAGAGAACAGGTACAATTTTAAATAGGGATGCCCAAGGTTGGTTGGCCTCCAGGTGAACAAAGACTTGAGTAAGATAGGGAAGAATTGCCTTGCCAGAGAAAACAGCTAGTGTGAGGGCCTTGGGGAGCAGCAGCAATGTGTGTGTCCAAGCAATAACAGGTAAGAGGTGGCCAAGAAAAGCATAAGCAAGTGATGAGGTCAAAGAGCTGGGGGGAAGGATGGACTATAGAAAACCTTGAAAACCACTGTGAACACCTTGGCTTTTACTGTGAAGGTAATGGTGGACCAATGCCCTCACTGTTTGACCGAATCCCCTTTTCTTTCAATCCCATCCAACTATGTTATTAATTTTTTTAAACTGTTGCCAATCTGAGGCTGTAATGTATAATCCATTTTTAGTTTACTTTCATTTTCCTCATTAGAAGGTTGAGTGTCTTTCATGTTTATTGACTATTGTCTATTTGGAATTGCTTTTTCTGAGTGGCCTGTTTATATCTTTTGTTGATTTTTTAATTGGGTAATTTGTGATTTTTATATTATGTGTATCATTAGTAGTAGTAGTAATCCTTATATGTTATAGGCATTACAAAACTTATTTGCCAATCTAGCATTTATTGACTTGTCTTTGGCATCTCCTGCTATGAAATTAATTTTTGGATAGATAAATATTTAAAAATTATTTATTTTTAAAGCTCCTAAGGTATTCTGTTTTGATTGAAAAATCTTTCGAATTCTAGGTTCTATAAATAGTTTCTTAAATTTTCCTCTTAGGTTTTTATGGTTTCCATTTTCCCTTTTAGGTGTTGATTTTGTTTAAGCTTTAAACTGAAATTCCTATGTTACTCCTGCCGTAAGAATAATCAGTTTTGCAATCAAGGGCCAAACTACATTGCTTTCACATTTAATTAAATGCTACCTTTGGCATATTAAAATGAAGGAGCATTTTTTAAGGTTAAAATACACTATACCGTGTAGGAAAGCTGATAAAAATGATCTGAAAGGGATGGCCTCACAGATCAGAAGAAACAGAAAATACATAGCAAGATGCCAGTCACTATTAGGATCCAGAGCACAAGGGAGAGTTTGGGTCACCTCATCTCCAGCAATACATGGGAACCTGAGGATACAGGAATAGCCAAAGGCAGCTAGATAGATCTGCTGAAAGAAGAGATGAGAAGTCGACCTTTAAGAGTTTCTGTTTTCTCAGAGAAGAATAGGGAGGGAAAAGGAGGTGACAGAGGCATGTAGACTTGAAGAAAGGGGAATGTGGGAAATTATATTATTGCAGAGGGGAAAAATAAACAAGTAGGAGAGTAGAAGAGCACTGGCAGGCAGAAATAAAAGCCAAACTAGATTTTGTGGTAACAGGTTTAAAATTATGGGGAGGTTATGTGATTTTTGCCAGCTAGGTTAATTGATTGGATGAATTTCAAGATTTTAGTAAAGTTATCTTAATATTCTCAAACCATTTAAGTCAAAAGCTTTAGTTTCAATTTCTTATTAGCACTTTCAGACCATTTAAGTCAAAAGCTTTTAATTTTGTGGATTGATTCTATTGTATATTGGTGTTAATGAAATTATAGGGTGGTTATTTGATATCCATTGGCAGCCAAAAGATTGGGTTAGCGGGCTGGGAGTTAAATCAATGGAGGTGATTCACTCTGGGCTAACAAGGACAGTTGGAACATAAAAACTGTGGGTATTTTCTATAATTGTGTTACCGTCTTGCCATTGTTACTTCATTCTTCTACTTCATAGTGCATCATTCATTCATTCATTCATTCATTCAACAAATACTTACTCAGCACCTATTATGTGTCAGGCACTGTTCTATATGCAGAGGATACACCCAGTGAACAAGAGAGACAAGGTTCCTGCTTTCCTGGAACTTATGTTCTAATACAGGAAGATAGACAATAATAAAAATAATATTAATAATAATAATAGCTAACATTTATTTAGCAAGTACTATTTGCTGAGACAGTTCTAAGCACTTTACAAGTATTAATTCACTTAATCCTTAGTGCCGTATTATAAGTTAGGGACTAGAATTATGCCCATTTTACACATGAGGAAACTAAGGACACAGAAAGGGGAAACGACTTGCCTAAGGTTACGAAAGCCAGGAAAGGGCAGAATTGGAATTTAGAACAAAAATGGGCAGCTTGAAGATCTTTTTTGCTTAATGACTTTCCTATGCTGCCTCTCACACAAGAAACAAGGCAATAAAAAAAGAATAGAATAGATTCTGGTAATGTTCAGTGGTATGAAAAAATGAAACAGAATGATGTGATGGTGTATAAACACAAGTGCTGGAGGGGAAGGAGTGTGAAAACCTCACTGTGATACCTGAGACATGAAGGATTGTGATAGTTATCTTGGGGCACCGGCAACAGAGAAAAGCTAGTGCAGAGGCCCTAAGACAGAAGGAATCTTGCCTGCTTTGTAAAACCGAAATCTCCACTTGGCTGTGTCTAGAGCTTAGTGTGGAAGCAAATGACTGATTGGAAGTGAAGTCTGGAAGATGGGCAAGAGCCAGACTCTGTAGGGTCTCAGTCACATTAAGAAATGTAATTTTTATTCTAAGTGAAGAGGTATTTTATACGGATAGTAACAGCATCTGATTATTTTTAAAAGATCACTCTCTAGGCTATATGCAGCATTGACTGTAGGATAAAAGATGGCCCAGGAAAATACATTAGGAAAAATTACAATCCATGTAGGAGACGGTGTTGGCAAGAACAAGGGTAGTGGCAGTAGAATAAAATTTCTGGTAAGTTTTTAAAGTAGAATTGTTAAGACCTGTAAATGAACCGTATGTGAAGAGTGAAGGGAAAAAAATTTAAATAGGCACTCTGGGATTTTGGTTTGAGTAACTAATATGATGTCCTTTACTGAGATGTGTAAGACTGGAGGAGGGTTATCTTTGGTAAGAAAAATCAAGATTTTCATCTTGAACTTTATGAGTGAAAGGGCTTTTTCTGCCTTTTTTTTCTTCATTTAAAAGTCGCAGGGCCGGGCGCGGTGGCTCAAGCCTGTAATCCCAGCACTTTGGGAGGCCGAGGCGGGTGGATCACGAGGTCGAGAGATCGAGACCATCCTGGTCAACATGGCGAAACCCCGTCTCTACTAAAAATACAAAAAATTATCTGGGCATGGTGGCGCGTGCCTGTAATCCCAGCTACTCAGAAGGCTGAAGCAGGAGAATTGCCTGAACCCAGGAGGCGGAGGTTGCAGTGAGCCGATATCGCGCCATTGCACTCCAGCCTGGGTAACAAGAGCGAAACTCCGTCTCAAAAAAAAAAAAAAAAAAAAAAAAAAAAAAAGTTGCAAAAAATTTAGGGATAAGAAAACATTTAAATTTTCAATTTTGTGAGCTCCTTACATTTTGAACTAAGTTGGGGAAGTTGAATTTCCATTTAACAAGTATTTATTGAGCAACTACTACATGTCAAGGTCTATGTGATGATATACCAAGATGAACTAAGCAATCAAGATCTCTGTTCTCAGACTGAGTTATTTTTTTACCGAAGGGAGGAGTGACGATTGGTTGGCTTTTTGGTTTTGGGGTTTTCTCCTTTTCGTTGTCTTATTAAAACTTAACACTTGAGTAGCCATCTTAATAACTACACTGTGCTCCTGGCAGTTGGGCCCACCGTTCTAAACGCTGTCGTAAATACTGACATCTCCCCTCCCACAAGAACTAACGTTTTTTAAATAAAAAAATTTTTAGCAAACATTACGCATACAACCTTTGCTTTGAAGTGTAATATTTTTGCAGGAATGGTACCTTTATAAAGATCGTGGTTGCCCCGTACTTATTTGTTCTTTCTTCATATCCAATTAAATGAAAACACTAGTTTTTCCGAAGCCCAACTCTCTAGGCTTGTTGGTTCTAGCTCAGGAGAAAGGATGGAAGCAGGAGTCGCTGGATTTAAACAGTTTGGTGTAATCCTTTTCCACGCCCTAGCCCGCTAGCCGGGGACGTGGTGTCGGCTACCCGGGGCTTTCCGTCCACGCAGTACCGGAATGGAGTCTGGGAGGGGGTCGGGGACGGAAAAGACGGAAGAGACATTAAGTAATTGGTTCTTGAAGGTATAAAATGATGTTTAGGGTCTACTCTAAGGCACTGATTTCAAACGCCCGCCCCCTGGGCCGTTTTGGCCCCGCCCCTTAGTGCCGTTACGCCAACTTCCACTTCGGCCTCTGCGGATTGGTTGTTACCACCGCCTCCGAAGCCCTTGGGTTTTGCTTCCGGGTCATAGGCGCTAGCCCTGAGCCCAGAGGTTCCTGGGAGCCAAGCGTAGCAATGGCGTCTGTATGATCTTAGCAGTCTGCTGCATCGGACCTCGGCCAATGTGAGCGGCAGGAGGATAACAGATTATCTTCTTTAACCCAGTAGGACGGGAAAGGGCAGTTGGGGTCGGAGTTGGCGGCAGAGTGCTGAGCGCGGGCGGCGGAGGCCCTGAAGCAGCCCGCTAGGGGCGGAACCGAGTGCCCGTCAGGCACGTCCGGAGCTCTCGGCCTGCGGTTGAAATCGCAGCGTAAAGGCAGCTCGCCTACCGCTTAAAGCGAGCCTCAGGTCCACCCTTCACTATCCCTCGCATCCCTGCAGTGCTAGGCACGGGTGAAGAGGCAGCGAGTTTCTGGTTATAGCGAAACTGGCTCTCCGGAGGCCGGAGTGATAATTCTGTTGGTGTGTGGGAAGGGTGGCGTCCCCAGCGCCAGATAACCCTGTTTCTTCTTTGAATTCATGCCTCTATCCTTTTTGGAAATTAAGTGAAATAGCCCCCCGCAAAAAAAAAAAAAAAAAAAATCCTCCCAATTCGCCCACCCTCCCACACACTTACTTACATGGTTTTAGTAACTAAATCTGCTAGACAGTATTCTTGTGACTGCGCCAAGCAGAAAATAACTTAATGAATGGGTCCCTGGTTTTTGGTATTAGAATCCTCTGGGGTGAGGTTCTTGTTTTTTTGAACAGTCCTTAAATTATAATCCACAAAAGATCTGATTTATAATATGATGCCTGTTGTAGAAGAATATTGGATCAACAAAAGGTTGTTTAAGATTTTTTTTTCTATGTAACTGTCATTGAAGTTTAACACACTTCTCTAGGGCACTTAGTAACTTCGTCAGTGATTTTTTAAAAATTGTTTTTGGCTTTTGTTTCGATTAGTCTATTTGCTATTGTGTGAAGTTTAGATTAAAATGCAAACCTTAGAAAGTCTGGTGGAGTAAGGTTTAGCTGAGAATTTTTAAAACTCAGACATGGCAGTACTGTATTTTACAAGGGTTTTGACATGTCAGGTGTCGTAATTCTTACAGTAATCCTAGGAGGAATATCTCCATTCCACAGATGACAGAAAGTTAAGCTAGGTGACTTGCTGAAGCCCACATAGTCAGAAGAAAAATAGGGATGCAAACTCAGATCTTTGTGACAGAATTTTTTGTACTAAGATATGCCTGGGAAGTCATACTCCTTGTACTGCCTAAGCCTCATAATTTGTTTTCTTGAAAACTTTTGTTTAAGAAGATTAAGCAAGTTTGGGGGAATGAGTTTTAGAACTTATTTCACCAGTATGGATATTGATTAATACTCTGTAAAATGAGTTTGTAATGTTGGAAATAACTTGATACTATATTTCTTCAAAGCATAAAAGATGACAACTGCAGCCAGGCCAACCTTTGAACCTGCAAGGGGTGGAAGAGGAAAAGGAGAAGGTGATTTGAGCCAGCTTTCAAAGCAGTATTCAAGCAGAGACCTACCTTCTCATACAAAGATAAAATACAGGTAATAAGAGGTTTTTTTTGTTGTTCGCAAAACAAGACCAAATCTGTTAAATGACATGGTCATGATGTAGTATGTTTCAGTTATGTTACTTAGCTGTATTCATAGGCATAGAATGCAATAGGATGTTTAACACTAAAATTTTGCTCTATGATTTTAAAATGCAAAATTTCTACTAACCAGGAATTTTCATATGTAGATAGAACAATAAATAATATAAATAATAATGCCTCAGAGAGACTGTGCACAATCAGCACCAGTCAATATATTTAAAATGTTACTGTTCTGAGTTGATATAATACTAATTAAAGATATTTTAATCAGTGTAAAGCCATATTATGGGGAAATATGTGATTGAATTTGGATTTCTTGAAATATTGGGAACAGCACAAGAGTGGCTGTTACTAACCCTCAGATTAGCTTACGATCTTGTCTACTTCCCTTTTTTATGCTTGAAGGACAAAGTCTCATTCTTGAATTGTCTTCCATTACTACATTCGTGTGTGTGTGTGTGTGTGTGTGTGTGTGTGTGTAAGTAACATTTTTGCCCTGGCTTGTTTTTACTTCAGACAAACTACTCAGGATGCCCCTGAAGAGGTTCGTAACCGTGACTTCAGGAGAGAGTTGGAAGAAAGAGAGAGAGCTGCTGCAAGAGAGAAAAATAGGGATCGTCCAACCCGAGGTACCAACACTATCCCAAACATTTGTCTCATAAAATTATCTTGTTGAAAGTTTTTCTTTCATGTAGCAACTGGAAAATGTTAACTATTTGTTTGCTTTTACAGCTTGATGTGAGCTATAATACTTCCTTAAGTCATTAGAGATGATAATAACAAATATTTACCAAAAGCATATTTGCCAGGCACTGTGCATATGATTTCTGTTGTCATAAATGCTTTTAATGTGGGCTCTTTGTGCCCACAGGTTCCTAAAACATTTTAAGTAATGCAGTATTTGTTTTACTAAGTTAAATGATTTTTGTTTCCCCCTAGAACATACAACCTCCTCTTCAGTGTCAAAAAAGCCACGGTTAGACCAGATTCCTGCTGCCAACCTTGATGCAGATGACCCTCTAACAGATGTATGTTTTGTTTCCTCCTTTCATCTCTATCTAATAATTGATTTACCATGTTTTTCTAAAATACTTGTGCTTTTGGCTTTAATAAGTGACTTGTATTTATGTTTACTTACTGTTATTCAGATATAGCCCCAACCTCAGTGCTAAACTTTATAGTTGATTTTAAAACAAAAAGTATTATTTTGTGGTAAGGACCTTAAGAGCAAGTTTGATCTCTAGAGAACCAAAAATGGAAGGAACTTATTAAAGGATATCCTTTCCCCCAAAATAATGCCCTGTACTAAACTACTGCACTACTGCTGGGTTTCGTATCTCTACAGGGCACTCTTCACACTGGGCTCTCTATGAACAGTGCCCTCTAGAGTTGTACTGGCGGCCTTTTTACATTAGATATGATGCCCCCTCCATTAAGTGCAAGACACTTAATGGTTCCCTCTGTGCAATCTAAGCAGAAGGTTTTTAAGGATTAGCACATCAGTTAATGTTAAAATCCTGTGGGACCTTAGAGCCTGTAATTTAATTTGCAGTTTTCTACATATAGGATAGTGAAGAAACCTGAAATGGCATCCAGTGAGTAATATCTAACTATTTATACACATCAGCAGTTAATTCTAGAGTTAAATGATAGAGTTACTCATAATAGTGTAAAACAAGAAACCTAATTTCAAGTGAAATTTAATAATTATTCACTTGAAATTATTTTTTTCTGAGAATTTAGCTCACTTTTTTGCACTTGATTATTTGCTAGCTTAAAGTTGTTTTGAGCTACGTAAAATTGTTTTGAGTCTCTTAGGGTGATAAACTGTACATATGTACTATGTTTTGGTAATGTGTATTTTCAGTCTAATCTTACGGACTCTCACTGTTCTTTAGGAGGAAGATGAAGATTTTGAAGAGGAAAGTGATGATGATGATACTGCAGCTCTTCTTGCAGAACTGGAAAAAATTAAAAAAGAAAGAGCTGAAGAGCAGGCCAGGAAGGTAAAACCAAAGGGTTAAATATTTACATCTCTCTATCATTCTCATATATACTAAAGTAGCAAATTTTTAAAAATATAAGTAATATCTTCTGATACTGGAAATTTCCCTTGCCATGTCTTAACTATTTAGCACTTGTAGATCTGTAAATCTGATTATTTGTGTGACATCCTAGGTATCCTGGTTATGTAAAAAATTCTTTCCAAATAGTTCAAATACATTGAGTAATATTCACCAGCTTGCTAGTCATTTACTTGTTTATTCATTTGTTCAGCATTTACTTGATGTTTGTTAATTGACAGGAGAATCAAAGATGATCAAGATACAGTCATGGTCTGCAAAGATTCTCTCTCTGTTTGTCTCCTGACTAGGTACTGTTAAGGCAATAATGTCAGAGATTTCATAAAACCTAGGTCAAGCTATCTAACTTCTCTGAGCCTCCACAGTTTCTTGGTCTCTCCATATACAATATGAGGAAAAAATATAGAACTCAAAGATAGTTAAAACTTTGAATGAATTACCCAGAGTTATACTAAGTGGTAAAACTGAAGTGGCAAGAACAAGTCAGAGCATCAGAGGCTGGCAAAATAATGCTGAAGGAGTCTTAGTTTTTTCTCAAGGATATGAGAAGCCAGTTGATTTCAGCAGGAGATTGAGAAAATTGGATATGCATTTTTATAAAGATTACTCTGGCAAAAATATGAGGATGAATTGGAAAAAACTGAGTTAGGAGGCTATTCCAGTAATCTTCCCTTGCAATTAAGAGACTCTCAGCTTGTATGATAGGAGCTGGAATTGAGATAAGTAATTGGATGCTGATAGAGCTATCAGGGAGGTCAAAGTGGGAAGGGGAACAGGGAAAAATAAAAAATAAAAGGAGGTTGGCCAGGTGCAGTGGCTCACATCTGTAATCTCAGCACTTTGGGAGGCCGAGGCGGAAGGATCCTGAGGTCAGGAGATCAAGACCATCCTGGCCAATGTGGTGAAACCCTGTCTCTACTAAAATACAAAAAGTTAGCCGGGCGTGGTGGTGCCTGCCTGTAATCTTAGCTACTCAGGAGGCTGAGGCAGGGGAATTGCTTGAACCCAGGAGGCAGAGGTTGCAGTGAGCTGAAATCACGCCACTGCACTCCAGCCTGGCGACAGAGCAAGACTGTTTCAACAAAATAAATAACTAAAAAATAAAGGAGATTGAGTTGATAGATATGACTGACTGCGGCAGCAGAGAGGACTCTTAACTTCTAGGTAGACATCGCTGCCATATATCAATACAGGGAATGCAAAAGAATTTTAGGCAGAAAGAAGAGATAGTTGATGAGTTCTGTTTA